CCTTTCTTTTTATTCTTGTCGTGACGTGCAACGACGTATGAAATCTCTAGGGTAATTATTCTGAGAAACCAACTCAAACACGTAATCAGCTCACCTCAAATGCTTTTCCGTCAGAACAATGTGCTTTTGCCGCTGATGGTACTTCGAATGTGAGAGATTCCTTAAGTTCGTTTGCGACAGACAGACGTGCGCTGTCCGAGGACATCTAGTAATGGGAGTTTATTATTAACCTCTTAATCGTGTATGAGTTAAATTCACGTAATAATTGAGTTAATGATGCTGTGAAGCGCCTCCAGTTGGTCCTTTTTAACGACAAAAAGAGTGTCGTCTACATATCCTAGCCACAAGTTAGGGCTAATTAACGAAGAACCTACAGGTAGCCACACCGCAATTAGGGCCCGACGGAGACGGAATCAGCAATACTGCTGCCTCAACCACTACTCCGTCGGACGGGGAGAAACAGGGTCAGAGGGAGGCAATCAAGACTAGCAATCCAGGACGGCAACTAAGGTCAACGCGACTGCGGGCGATGGCCACCAACGTTCAAATGCCGACCCCCGACGAGAGGCAGGCAGACTGACAACAGTAACCGTCCCTCCCACTCTGCCCCGGCAACTACTGAAACGATCCCTTTGCGTATGCGGGCCATTAGCGCCAAAGTCAATTAACGACTGCCTCGTATAATTAATAGCGTGTTAACCTGACTCCCACTCTGACGCCGTACGATGCTCAACTCCGACGATGAAAGCTAGTCTGCTTTTGAAACGTCAGAACAATACAACCATGGGCTCCGAGATCGCTTCTTCCTCTTCTTCATCTTCTTCTTCTTCTTCTTCTCATTTAAGTCAGGGGACTCGAGTCTTTGCTTCTATTAACAATATATATATATATATATATATATATGACAAACGTAATATACCGTACTTTCGACATAGGTACTAACTAAAAGCCCAAACACGTGTTTCGTCAACATTCTGCCGCAGCATGACACAGCTGCGAGTTGTTAGACACTTCAGAGGGTCCTATGCGGTTTCTGGTATATGAACTCCAGAGAATAATCAAGCGAATAATTTCAGAAATTACTCAGTGCAGGACTCGGAGTTAAATCTCCGGGACATAACTTTTTAGGGTCAGAACCGAAATTTCAATGAAAATTCGAGTCGAAGACAACCAATTACTGTGAATAACCACGTAATGCTCATTCTACAAACAAGTAGTACTACGAGTAGTATGAAATGTATATGGCAAGCGTATTATATCGTATTATACGTCAAGCGAAAAGGTGTACGCTCACACGTCGCCAAGCACAGTCTGGAAAATGATCACTTACGCAGCAGGAGAGGCCCAATGAGAATAGTAATTGATGGCCCTATCAGGAGTGAGCGAGAGGGACCTATTTAAACCGTGCAGTTCTCATATATACGATGATGCGTTCGAGTATGAGTATGAGATTTCAGATGAATAAATCATCATTCCCAGAGCTCATCTTACCATCTATTTCAATGTATATATGTGAGAAGAAGATGCGATCTTGGGAACCATTGTTCCATTGTCCTGACTTCTCAAAAGAAAGCGAGTTTCCATCGTTGGAAGTGGGTGTGGTATTGCGCCTCATAATGTTTACAGTCATGTTAAGACGGGTGCGTATGCAGTTAAGTCGGCAGGGAGGAAGGGGCGGAGAGAGAGTCCTAGAGCGTCTTTTCGCCGGATGAGGAGGTGTATCGGCTTCAGTGGTCATCATCCGTATACCCACTGGGACTGTAGCGAATGGCGGAGGAAGGGAGGTTGACGGAATGTACTCAATCAACGTCGGGGTCGCCGTTGAGACGTAGGGAGCCGTCGTTCGTACCTTCATTGACCTTAGCCGTCATCCAAGGCTGGCGATTTGTTTACGCCGTCCCGACTGCCTGCTTTCTTGTCTGTCACTAAAACCGTACCATCTACTAGTCCAGTGACTAGTATCTTCGCTTCTAATAGCAGTATGCATATATATTTATGTCAAGTAAGAGTTTGACCCCACTGTTGTGTCCTATGACACAATGTTCGTTGTCGTCAGTAGCAAGCTGACAGGTGGACAGAATGAGATCGAGTGAGATATTGACCCAAGCAATCAGGACCAAACGTTTACTTGGCATGTTTATATAGCTCACTTCATATGTCGCATGGCTTATGACGTACTGATTATCGGTAGCGACCGTGAAACAGCTCTCTGCGTCTGGCTTGTTACACTTTTAGTGAGCTGCTTATGTAATGTATATATTTATATAAATTGTTTTTTTTTCACTGCAGAATATTTGTGTATCCTCTGATAATTAACAAGATTTTGGAAGATTATGAGTAATTTTTCAGTAACACGGCGCGTCTTCAGGTAATTTAGGGAAGACTTTTAGAATTCATAGACTTTAATCCTTCGTGATTTTGTCTCTTATGATGCTCTGATCTAGGAACGTAATTGAACTTTACTTAGCTATAATGACGCTTGACTTACTGTACTGCCCTGAAGAATAGCCTTTCACTCATTCACTCTTAATCAATCTTTTCAGTTCACCGCAGAAGACAGCGTCATGACACTAGACCTATGATACAAAATTTGACGAAAAAGTCAGACTCAAAGGTAATTCCACCTAGCGGACTGAGAGAGGGTGTGGAGCAAGTCATGCGCGCTATGCAATAAACCCGACAGGAATAAATTAAATTACAAATAGGGCCTTTATGTCCAATAAGTAGTCTACAGGGTCTCACCCTCGTGGACTGTAAAGTAAGTCAAACTACGCTAATCCCACTCAGTTCCAACCAGTGACAGAAATTCGGCCCCGTATCCGCTATAACCGCCTCTCCCTCCCTCATTATGCACGTGCGTACCCAGTGGTTGAGGTTGATGAAGGAAAGATTTCCGACGACTTTCTTTGTTCGAATGGCACGAATTTAATTCTAATTGTTAAACAAGCATCTTGCTAGCTCGGTTCGTTAGTTTTCTAGTTCACATAACCGCATTTGTGCCCAGGATGACTCAGAGCGCCGGGGAGGGGCAGTAGATATCTCCGCGACTCAAACAGTTCTTTTTAAACTTCGCCGACTACAATCACCGAAATTAAGTACAAAAAGCGTCATCTGCGTGCCGGCAACAAAGCGAGCTATAACAGGATTGAAGTTCCGGGCGCTATGGGGGGGAGGAGGGGAGGAATTAGTGAATTTGATACATGTCGAGCGCGCGGGAGAGGCCAACTCTATCTAAAAAACGTCCACAGTAAAGCTGTCTAAAGCGTGAAGGGAGAAATAAGTCTTTTATGGGAAATTTATGTCATATGGCGCAAGTTGGCGACGAAACTTCATGAAGGTGTCCCCGACTACCTGCACAGGACGAGATTTATACTTTACGACTCTTAAATTTCCGTCTTAGGTTACTCACATGACCCAGTAAGACGAATGAGCGGCAAGATTGACTTAAACAGGAATTTTTACTGTCTCAGCGGAGGCTATGGCACTTGTTTCGAAAATAAGAGTTATACATTCTAGTCAAAAGCCTCAGGATATAAGTAAATAATAAAAATAAAATTGGGTGAATAGTATTAACGGTGACATTAGCTACATTTGAAGCAGAAGACACGATCGCTGGGACAAGAGCTTTATTACCCTGACTTTTCGGATTCCTGCTCGAACCCATCATCAGAGATAAAATCAGATACTGTGGTTCATGCACAGGGGGGCTGCAGTATTTATAGGATGCAGTCGCCATGCTACCGCATACCTATGAATATTCACGGGCCCCCCGTTCATCAGGAATCGTTGCACTTAGTGTGAGGACTGTTTGATGGCCAACATTCGCGCCGTTAATTGCTGCAATTTCATCACGTGGGTTGGACGTGATGGTGTGTTGATGTGTTGGTGGGACGATTGCTCAACCATCTGTCACACCGACCCTAGCGTTGGGAAAAGTGGTCACCTGTGCTCTACCCCGTGGTTAATTACTCCGCCTAGGCGAAGCCTCAGCATCGAGTATGAAAGGGGAAGGTCGCTGCACTCGTTAATGCACTGGGGCCAGTAAACCATGACTCAAGCAGTCCCCGGCTAACGCGGTTGTCACCTCTTGCGAGAATTTCGGCCTCGTCGAATTCGAATGTGTGACCGGATCTCGTCGAATGAGCCTCAACTTGAGAGCTAGCGTCAGTTCTCCACACCGCTGCAGCGTGTTCGGCAATTCGCGTTTGGAGCTGTCTTCCAGTTTCTCCGACGTAGTTGCTTTGTCCGCAACTGCACCAGATCCGATAAACTACTCCAGACGTTTTTAGCCGTGGCAGCGGGTCTTTCAGTTTCATTAACGGACGCCTGACGGTTGCCTCCGGTCTGTGTGCCACTCCAACCCCAAGTGGTGCGAGAAGGCGGCCGACAGTTTCCAAAACGTTCTTGACATACGGAATCGCTCGCCAAATTTGGGGTTCATGCAGTTAGACCTTTTGTCTCGTTTACGTATGCACCGGTTGACGAAGTTGCGCGGGTAGCCATTGGTTTTGAAGACCCGTAGGAGGTATTGTGGTTCGGCAATCTTGTCTTTCGGCTCACTGCAGTGCATTTCAACACGCCGATAGAGCGTCCTTACCCAACTGCGTTTGTGGCTGATTGGGCGGTTGCTGTTGAAGTTCAGTACTTGCATCGTATTTGTCGTTTTCCGGAACACTTTGGTCTTTAGTCCACCGCAATCTTTGCGGCATTGGAGGACATCCAGGAAGGTCATCCTCCATCGTAAATTGTATATCCGAGAAGACCGCATTCACATGTTCTTTAAAAGCCCGCTGCAAATCCCGGTCGACAACGACGAAGGTATCATCCACATACCGAGTCCAGAATTTCGGTCTGTGTTGTTGGAAGACCAGCGACTCTAACCGTTGCCGGACCGCCTCGGCGAGGAATCCCGAAATCGGCGAACCCATTGGTGTGCCCTTCACCTGTCCGTAGATTGTTTCGTCAAACTTGAAGTACGTCCTGAGACAGAATTTCAGGAGCTAAAGGACTTGGGTATGTCCAAGACGATTTTCCATTTCATTGTGTTTGCCTTGTAGAAGCAGCTCGATGTTCTCGATCTCCAGGTCCTGGGGCATAGAAGTAATAGGGGACGCAACATCAAATATACCATGACTTCATTTGGATGGAAGATTACCCCTTTGAGTTTCTCCAGGTATTGTGCTGTCGAAGAGGCCGTGGTGTCTGACTCAGCGGTCAGAAACTTGAGACGCCGGAACAGCCGCTTAGCCAGTCTGTACGTTGGAGTACCTTTGAGCAACACAATCGGTCGGAGAGGAGCACCGTCTTTGTGCACCTTAGGGAAGCCATGGAATCGGGCCAAAGGCGTATCTTGGGGTCTTGCCATACGTCTGTCGGTTGGTGTTATTGCACCTGAGTTCTCCAGGGCCAACAACGTAGCATTAGTTTCACGTGTCAGCGCCTTCACAGGGTTCATTGCACATGGGACATAGAACTGTCGGTCCTCCAGTAAACCTCTGGCTTTTTGAAGGTAGTCTGTCCTGTCTGTTAAGCGTCCCTTGTCTGCTAGCACGATGACCAGATCTTTGTCGGACTGATCGGCTACACTGTGATGATTGCTCACCAACCAGGTAACCGGATATTCTTGTCTGCCCAGTCTGGAGTCCTCGTACAGAGGTCAGAAATCACGTTCGAAAAACGTCTTAGCCGACCCTCAACAGCCGAAGGACCCGGGTGCGAACCCTCGGTTATGTGACTTTGCGGCAGCGTGCGACTATATAACGACCCCTAATAAGCCAGGAATGGCCACTCTACATTTCCTCGTCCCAGTGAAATCAGTTTTTGTTACGTTGAAAATGGGCCAAAGCCACCCTGCCTGCCCTTTCCAGTGCCCACAATCCCCTTCGTCCCCTGACACTGACGGTTATTTGTTTTTCCACTCACGCACCCAGACCCCCCCCCAAACCCCAGCTACAGAATAACTTCTGCTTGCTCGAATTTTCCTTTTAATCATTATGACAACAACATAAATGTAGAGACTTGATGCGAATTTATCGAAAGCTTACGTATGCTCGCCATATTGTCTTTTGAAGTTAGGGAACAATGTACAGACCTAAATGAAATACGCACCGAAGCGGTGTTAGTCATTCTGTCGTGGCAGTAGGTTGAAGTACAGACATTGTGGTTTGGATTTAAGCCCCACTGCCCAGTAATTTCGATCTCAGTCAACATGTCGTAAGGCAATGGCTGGCAAGATCTTACTTCGTAGCCGTACATGTGAGGGGTTAGGGGTCAAGGGTTATAGGTTGGGGTTAGGGATCATGCTGGGGCTTGTATACTACAGGTACGGCAACGAAATAAGATTCGACCTAATGACTCAAGTAGTCGTGTTTTCGGTCCAGTGGGCAACCACATTCGGGTCAAAAGTCTAGGTTTGCCTGTTTGAGGGGTTGTGATAGAACTAGCTGAGAACTATTAGTAAGCCGCAAGTTAAATATTTTCAAACAGTCAAATGGACATGACAGACACCGTTAAATCTGAAATTAGGATGCCCTTCCGCCTTCGCCCAGCAACATGACTTCTTTGCAAAAACCAAATTTTCTAAGTTACCTTTTTGTACGCATTAGGTCCGTCTCCAAGTGACTACCACTTCTTCGACCTCAGAAATTTTATAGTTAGGCATTTTGTGGTGCAAATGTAAACACCCACACAACCACATGCCTTCAACGCAGACTACGGCTCACCGATGACATGGTGTGCTGACCTTCAGAAAGTGAGCTAACATTGCAAGTGCCTCCAAACCGGTCCGGGCCGTAGATATGCCGAACCAATACGGAGGCTGCATCGGATTTCCGGCAAGCTTCGTCGGGAACGCGCCCCCACAACAACGGTAGGCTTAGTTGCCAGTTCACATCGCCAATCTAACTCCCTGTCGTCCCGCCACTTTTAGTGTTAGTCAAGCGTTTGTTGTTGTGGATCCGGAAGTGTGTTAGTACGCCTGAGCGCAGGCCCATGCCGCGCCAGGCACCCGTGTCCCCTCGCATCTCCGGTCTTCTTGACTATGTCTTGGCACCGGGCCCAGATGGCTGGGGGGCAGTGAGTGAGTGCTGCGTTTTTTCCTAGGAAATGTAGACCCGAACCTATTTTGTTGTCACCGAAGTCCGTCCCTATGCTTGACTGAAAGACGGTGGGATTCGGACCGACAGCATAATGGACGTGGTCTAAATGCAACCAACTACTAGTAAGCTGTAAGTTATGCATTTTCAAACAGTCAAGTGTAAAAGAGAAACCACAGCCTTTATATCTGGAGTTAGTATGTCCTTCTGCACAAACCTAGCAAACTGACTTACTTCCAACACCAGATTTCATGAGTCACCTTGGCGTACCCTTTAGTTCCGCTGTCAGTCGACTACGACTGACTCGGTTTGAGTAATTTTCTAGTTGGGTCTTTCGTGGTGCGAGTGTGAATGACCACACAAACACATGTCCAATCTCCCTGATGACATAGTCCGCTGAGCTTAAGAAAGCGAAGGAATATGCAAGTACAGTAGGTGGCGTGTTTCAGGGGGTGTTGTTCGAAAATCTCTAATGCGTCTTTGACTGAAAATAAATAGTTAGATGGGGTTGCAGTATTGATTATCATGCGACACATTTCCAAGATATATCAGTCAAATAAGCTTGTCGGCATTTGAATGACCTTCCTTTCAGTCACCTGAGAAACCAGGTTTCCTAAAACAAGACTGTATAGGCAGTAGGATTCTTCTTTGATTTTCAATGTCCTTATAAAAGCAAAAATACTTTATCGAACAAAATGCCCATCTTGTAGTATGTTACATTTTCTCCAAACCTTGTACTCGAAAAAATAGTATTTTTGGTTCAAAAATCATTAGGTATGAGATTTAATAAACCTTAAAAATTGTCACTTAAACGATGTCGTATTTATTCGTCTTTTACTGTTCCCAACGAAGTATATAACATGGTTAATATCCATCGCAGAACTGCGTGAACCTGTATGGAGTTTTCTAAATAGCATGGAAGGATTGCTATACACCATAAATGAAGGGAATACATGTTGTGGTTTGGAAGCCATAAATATGGGTTCGTTTTAAATTTATAAGCATTGAATTTTTTTGAAAAGAAATTGAATGAGCCCTTTTCTTCGGGTAGAAAATTTGAAGGAGTCTTAATTGTATGGTAAGGCATTGCAGGATAGAATATTTTTGAGCATGTATTCTATAAAATATGCTTGAACTATCAAGAACAATGAAACTTGATGGAGAGGCTAGTACTTCTTAAGTCACCATTTATACCAAGTGTGATTTCTGCGGAAGACTGGAAAGAAATCTTATGCTAGTGGCATCCCCATGTGCCCGAAGTATCTTGGGTTTATCTTGAATTATGCCACATTTCACGACTCCACAGCTACGTAATTCTTTTTAAACGAAAACACATTTTAGAATTATGATTAAAAATTTACGAAAAACGCCACGTACTCTGGTTCGCTGACAGAAGCTACCTGTGTTTTCACGCCTGTGTCTCTCATCAGACGCAGCAGTAGATAAAGTTGATGGAATCACAAGGATTACGGCTTTTTCAGTATATGGTCTTTATGACGGTAAGTCACTCACACACACAGCGCGGTGGGAGCGGGGATGGTGGATTGCGCGGAAATTTGTTGAAAGGGACGGCAGCCTTGCGAAGCATCTAACACACTCACCCTTCCCTTACTCTCCTATACCCGGTGTCCAGATGGAGTCAAGGAGATCCGAGGCGGTATCGGGCGCCGTGACTGTCAGGGCTGAACAATCCGTCTATGCATGCCACATACGATTTAGCCCGCGAAAGATGGACCGAGTTTTTTGCAGAAGCACTGAGTGATCGGCTGACAGTACAACTGAATGAGAATGCCATAGGGGCTACATTAATAAGGAGCCATTGCAGTTAAGCTCGCCGTCCTTAGAGGACCGAGCCATCCTCTAAGGTGGTAGCTCGGCAAGTCACGGCTTCTCGTATAACATGATGGATTCAAGTGGCTCAGACTGTTTATAGCGAAAAATATGCCTTGAGGGCAATGGACGCTTAGTCGCAGGGTCGAGGTCACTCCCTCTTCAGCTATCCGAATCGGCTAGCCGCCTGATGCGTGGATTGGGTGCAAGTGGATGACACAGCTAAAACAACCAATCTGTGCGTGTCCCACACGACTTGCGTCCTGCAAAAGGCTCCAGGGTTTGATAAAAAAAAGCCGGACGGCCCGAATCTCACATGCATGAGAGCCCCATCAGAGGACTTACTCAGAGAGGCCACTGAGTTTAATTTTTAATTCACCGATCAGTCACTCAACCCCAAAAATACAAAGGGCTGTATGGGAGATGTAATTTGTACCGTTGGCCGGCACCTTTTCGAACGTTGAATGAGGAACTTGCTGAAATCGTAAGGAGATGGCCTTACTCCCACTTCCCTCTACCATGCACCCGCTAAATCATCTTTTCGTTTTCACCTCACCAACATTTGGAGGAATTCTCAATGGCCAATTATCTAACAAGCCGTGCTGAATCACCCAGATTTCAACTTGAACTCATTAAACGAAGATTTTTTCTCACTGATCCAACTGTGGAAAACCCGGTGTTTCGTTGGGATTCGAACCCACGACAGCAGGTGGGTCAAAGTGAATTATTTGAAATCTAGGCAGAATGATATTACCGACAAAGACAAAGGAGACTGAAATGACCATTTCTGGCTTGTTAGCCGTCGTCAGCCAGTCATACCCAACCCCGAAGTGTGACACACCCGAGGCTCGAACTCGCGACCTGTTTGTTAGAAGTCCACGCCTCTAACCACTGGGCTACGAGCCCGTAGCCCTGTCGGTCTCGATCGGGAATATACAATGGTAGGGGGCGCTCACCGCTCGTTCTTACGGAACTCACTAGTTCCGTTGTTATATTCCCGATCGAAAACCGACAGGGCAGCAGGCCCGTGGCTCAGTGGTTAGAGGCGTGGAGTTCTAACAAACAGGTCGCGAGTTCTAACCTCGGGTGTTCCACACTTCGCGGTTGGGTATGATTGGCTGACGACGGCTAATAAGCCAGAAGTGGCCATTCCAGTCTCCCTTATCTTTGTCGGTAATATCATTCTGCCTATAGCATGCGCCTCTGTGAGGCTGCTGGTTGGGCTCGAGAGAGAGCCTTTAAGGCACAACGGAACGAGTGAGTTCCGTATGAACGATCGGTGAGCGTCCCCTACCATATTTGAAATCTGACATAACGCCAATGATGATTTTTTTCTCGGCTAACAGGGAGATTATGCCACTCCATTCGTCCAGCTCTAGTCGAAAAACCCCTAAAGTGGATACCTGGGTCAAGGATTGTTGAACCTAGTCCTGTCTCCCATTTTCTCACAAAATCCTGTACCTCCTTAATTTCTGCTCGTGGGAGGACAAAAGAATAAGCACGACACCTGTATTGACAGTTCGAGATCGGC